TTGCTCTTTTGTTAGTTTTGACTGCTTTTATTGTCCTCATTTGTAAGTCGCTTTGGATAAAAGCGTCTGCTAAATGACTAAATGTAAATGTAAATATATAGAGAGCATGTTGCGTCTGTAATATTCCACAGATATTTCTAGTTTTTGAAAATTTGCTTGGTATATTTTTTAAATATCATCAAAAATTTCCATTTAGCCTTTTTAAGCCATTATTTTATTCTTTCACAGTCTTGTCATTCACAATCATTTTTAATGTTTGTCATATTTATGTTTTGTCAAACTTCATACATACAGTCAAACCAAAATTTGTTCAGACACCTTCAAAATTTCACACATTGTCACAGTTTATTCGCTAGAGTTTAGAAAATGGTAATAAAATATGACAAGAACTCAGAGTTAAACTGTGTGGGAACAAATTCAGGTAAGTTCAAAGTGTTTGAATAATTTTGGTCCCAAATTTTTATCAGTTTTACTGGTAGTCCAATGTATGAAACATTTTTGGGTATAATATGTCACGGTTTACTTTATTTTGCTATCCTTACTTACATGAATAAACTATAGTGTCCTGCACCCACTAGTAAAAAAAATATAAAAAATTATATCTGGTGTCTGAATAATTTTTAGTTTGACTGTATATCTGTATATATGTAAAACCAAAAATGATCAGATGTCCTCCTCATTACTACAGTTTGTTTTTGTGTCATGTTTGTTCCATTTACAAGTTTCCTTGTAAATCATGAATTTATTAAAATTCATAGAAAAAAAATTTCTGCCATCTGTGGTCACATCATTTGTCTTTGTCATCCGTGATTGTTGTTGAGTGAAATGTACTGTATATACGTATGTCACCATGTATCTCATCAGTATATGCATAGTTACAAATTGTCTAAAATAACTTTGACCTCATGCCATTAACTGAGAGGAAATGAACATGCTATTCTGTCATCCTTTACTCACCTTCAAGTGTTTTGAAACCTGCATGACTCACTTTATTTCGTAAGCACAAAAGGGGTCCAGGCTGTTTTTTCCATACAGTGAAAGTGAATGGTGACCCTGGCTGGCAAGCAAGACTGTCAAGACAACATGCTCATTGAATCTATTTTTGTGAAGCTTGACAGACACTTTCACTGTATCAAAGCAAGCAGTGTAAATATTCTGCTAAACCTTTCCTGTTGTGTACAACAGAAGAAATAAAGTCGTATGGGTTTAGAACAACATGAGAGTGAGTAAATGAAAAGAATAAAAAAATAAATCACTCTGTTCAATATATTACCGTTTTGCAAGCACAAGACCACAAGTTATTGCCTGACTATACTGTTAATTTAGGATCGTTTGTTTGTTTATTATTTATTTAATGTAAAGTTGTTTTATTTTCCATTTTATTATATTTTTATTTTATGTTTCCTTATATTTGGAATGCCATGAACACACTTTTTTTCAACCATGCATTTTTATCTGCAGATCGTGGTTTTTATTTTAAGTGGACTTTTATTTTCCGGAAGTGCTGTGACTATTGACTGGCTGGCTTCACAGCCCTCTGCGGTTGAACAGCAGAGAGTAGCCGGATGTCGCAGTACAGTTTTTTTGAGTACATGGACACCTTTGTAAAGCCGAACGGTTGTTGCGTTTCACTTTGCGACTCGGTAAGTCGTTCAAATCAAACAGGTTCGCATGTGAGTCCCCCTTTAAACGATGAAAGTTTCAAAATAGTAACAACAAGTAGCGGTATGTGACAGTTCATCCGCTTCTCATGTAACGTTATTGTTGCTCAGCGTACATTTCACTTGATCCACTAGTGTCTGTTACTACATACATGCAGCTGTCGCGACGAGGATCTGGCCTGCTATATCTGGCCTGTTTAGTCTTGTTAAACGTCGCAAATGTGATTGTTTTTCAAATGTATGAGCTTCATAGCAGCACAAGCTTCTCATTTCCTGCCATGTCGCATCGGTGATTAATGTGTAACAGTAAGCGATAATAAGTGTTAAAAACGAAATGTGTGTCGTGGTCTGTTTATTCTCTAAACCAAAACACTGTCATAATGCTGAAGATGTATGATTATACTATTTGTGCTGGAATATATGAAGTATTTGATGAACTAGTGCTGGGACACACCTACTAGTCATCAACAAATTGCGGATATGTCTCTTTTCCACTTGATGGACACTGACGAGCTATCAAGGTGCTTATTATATATTAATAAAATCTGGCCTAATTTAGCTCAGTTCTTCTATCTGCATGCTCGTCACGAGCTGGGGAAAAATAGGCATTTCTGGTTATTACATAAGCATCTGCATTGCTGCTATGCAAACACGTATCTAGAACTTCATGGAATAATTTGCCTGTTTGGCTTTGGGATACTGTATAATGATTATGTATTTGTATATATACAAAGTTTCATTACAAATGCCTGTTCTCTCTTCCGCAAGGCCTTCAAGATGCTCTCTAACTGTGAGTGGAAATGAGGCTGAAATCTGTTACTGTGGATCTCATAAAAAAGGTATTGTGCACTTTAATATTGATTTGATTAAGAAATCATCTGTACTACCAGCATGGCAAATTTAGAATTTCTGATCTATTCCAGAAGGGCGCGTCTATCCATATTATGTTTTTCTGTCTGGTAAATGGGGTATGGGGTTACCTGCATCACTTGCCATTTGCTCATGTGAAGGTTTATGTGTTTTTAACATTATTTTTTGTGGCTGATTGTTAAAGGCAGGTGTGGACCTGCACAATAAAGAATGTCAGAGAGGTTTATGTATTTTCCATTGTCAGTGTACTAGGCCTGAACACTGCATGTCTGAACACTGTTTCTCAAGTAAAGTCGGAATGTTCTTGAAAGATAATCCCTTTCTGGGATACGTAAGGAATAGTGTGCAGCCAGTCTGTCTTTGCTACAGAATACACTCCAGCAGGGTGATCAGGACCCACGCATAAATGACTTATCTTATATTAAAGATTCTGTTAAGGAAAATAGTTTATGCTTTAAACCAGTTATTCTCAACCTTTTTCGCTTGAAGACCACTCATTGTCTAACCCAATATTCAATGCCACCCCCCCCCCCCAATAC